AGGAGCAGAGAGGCTGCGGGGAGGCGGTGTCCGCTGGTACCGCGGGGGGCAGCGGCAGGGACCGGCCCCGTGGCTCGCTGTGAGGCATTTTCCCGGAGCACGTAGTTTTCCCGGGGCAAATAACTTTCCCGGGAGCAGGTAGCATTCCCCGGGCTCTCCGGGCCGGAGATCGGCAGTTTTCTCACCTCTCCGCCGAAGCCAAGCATCCCTCCCGAAGTCGAGGAGGGAGCGGGGCGGATGCTCGGCTCCTCTCCTCCTACCCCGGGACAGTTTCTCCCAGCCCCGACCGTGCGTTCGCCCGGCACCGCTCGGCGCGTTCCGCTGCCCCGGGGTGGAGCGGGATTTCGCGGTGCCGGGGACCGGCGGGCGAGGGATGCCAAGCGGGGTCGGTAAAACTGCCCAAACCCCAGATTTGCACCCTTCAAAGCCCTCAAGGTGTTGTGACTGCTTTGGGCTTTGGGGAGCAGCCTTGTCCCCCCCAAACGCAGCCATTGCCCTCGGGCTGGCTTTATTTCCCCCTCAAGACAGCCAACGGTCCCAGGCAGATCGTTGCTGCGGTTTTCAGTGTTTTAGATGGAGATTTTGGGGACGATTTGCCTTTGGCCTTTGTGAATCCTTGTTTCTGCCTCCTGTTCTCACGACCGAAATCTCCCCTCCGCTTTTTTTCTTACTTCCCTCTTCTGTGCGTGTGAGAAATTTGGAAAACTCGAGAAGTCGTTTAATGCAAAGGGATTTTAAAACACAAAAGTATGCTGTGAAAGAAGGAAAAAACCCAACACCCCAACCACTTAATTAGATACTTACCGAAGGAGTCATTAGAGCCTGCTGGGTATAACACGGTTTATAAGTTCTCTGGCCACAGAGAAACTCAATAATTACTATTTTTCAATTCCCTTACAATGGGATGGGTGAAGGATGGAGTGTGATAAACTTAACTCTGTTCCTGGGCTTTTTTGCAGATTAGCCTTTGGCATTCCCTGGTAAATACCAAGTGAATAGAGACTGTGTGACCACAGTCCCTTGACTTAGGGACAAACATTTCCTCTGTGCATTTTAAATAATGCTACTGCCAAATATTTTGTTACCAGAGATCATTATCCTTTTGAATGAAAACTCGAAGAGTAAAGGCATTGGTTTTGTCTTTGCTGGTGTGGAACAGACTATATGATATCTAGAACAGCAACAAGCTTTCACAAATTGCTATATGATTTCTACTGCCAGGTTCTGTGATATTGGATACGACAAAAATAAAAAAGCCGGGCAGATAGACACAGAAACTCACAGAAACCACCTGTATATTTTGTTTCAAAGGAAAATCTCAGCTATTGTCTTACTGGCTCTGGTTCTGTTAGGCCTTGGATCTGCTTAATCTTTAAAGCTATTCAAACAAATTGAATGATACAAGGCAAGTCTTCTATAATTAATCCGGATTCTTGAATTTTGATACAAACTTTTATGTAACCGAGAAGTTTCTCTCTTTTCCTTGCAAAGACATTAAATAGGCACTAAGTCCTTCTGTCAAGAGTGCTACCATGAACAAAGTTAAAAGGAACAAACCTGGAAATTTTCCCTTCATGAAGAAGAAAGAGATGCAAACATAAAGTCATGGGAGAGCTGGTACTGGTGTCTGGATAGAGACCAAGGTTTAAAGTGGCCCCTGTGCTACAAACCACAGAACATGAACACAGGAATGGTGGTTTGTCCCAGGCACAGCTTCTGCAGGATGTTATTTTGTCAGTTTATCCCAACCTCACAGGGACTCAGTGCTGGCACTCAACGGTCTCATTTGAACCTTTTGAAATGTTTATTCTTTCACTACTACAGTCCAAAGAAAATGGAAATGATGCCATTTGGTATGGAGGAACTCGTGACGTCCACTCTCAGCTGCCACTGTGGATGAGGAAGCTTCAGCTGTGGTTTTCTCCTTCTCATGTTATGCAATTTTCATTTGGTATTTGGCAGAACTACTTCAGAATGGATACTTTACAGAGCTGTGCATCTTGTGACAAGGCACTGAAATCCCCCAGTAGGAGTAAAATCCCTTGTAGGAGTCAAAACTTTACCTGGGTTATCAGGAAAATAAGAATTATGTTGGGATTTGGGTGGGGGGTGATCTGGACAGTTTGGCTTCAGTGGAAAATCAACACACTGAGAAAGGTCTGTACCTGTCTAGACCTGCTGTGCTCACAGGTTGCAGATACAATTCCCATTGAGGCAAAAAAACCCTCAAAGATCCAGCACAGGTTCAGCCAGTGTCAGCAGCTGTCCAGTTTACCTTACAGCAGATCTACTGACAGCCTCTGCTTTTTGACTCTCCATCTTTCCTCACACCATTTTTCTTCAGATCCTGTAAAATCCCAAATGAGTTGGGTTTTCTTGAGTTTCTGTGTAGTTGTGGGTCTGTCTCTTCATGGACACAGACAGAAGTGGTGCTGACTGTATGGAGAGAACAGACAGCTGTGCCCAGAGTCACATCAGATGCTGTGCAATCTTGTCCTTGGTCACATCAGGCAACTCCTTCTCTGCTGAATGTCCTACCTCTCATGCCAGGCAACACTTCCACCTTTTACCCATCAAGGTGTAGTGTCAAACCACGTGCCCAGGATGTTGGTGCTCTGTACCAGCTGTTCACAGCTCGTATCACCAGTGTCTCCAGAAAGGTAATGCCAAGGCTTGTGCTCCATTCCCTGCAGAGCTGTCACATCCTTCAGGTTATCCAGAGACCCTGTGGAGTGAGGCTGTTCATTCTAGGAAGGGAAAAGAAAGAAAATACAGACCCTGGTCCCCACAGAAAAGGGGAACCACCCAAAGTTGCCCATGCAATGGCCCAGACAGGACATTTTTTGGGTGCCAGGTGCTGCTGACGCTCCCGACGCCAAAGCCACTGAGTCTTGTCACAACTGCTCCGCATGCCGGCCCGGAGAGGCCACTGCTGATAACACCCTCCAGGTGTTCAGCCTGAGAACAAAGGCCCTTTTCAGTGGCTGCTGAGAAGGAAGAAGCCTCCTTGCTGGATGGAAAATGGCTTTCCTGGATGGCAATATTTGGTTACAGTATGATCTGTTACTTCAGAAGAAGCCCCGCAGTAGGGAGGGTAATTTGACTCAGGCATGCAAAAAAACATTGTGGGGACTCTTGTCTGCCTCCTTCTTCTCCCCAAAGTACTGAAACAACATTGAGTTGTGATGTTTCATACAAGCAAAGTAAAACTGGAATCTGGGATCAAAATACGCCTCATCTTGGTACACCCATTGTCATGGTGGGGAGCTGCGTCATCATCCTGAAGAACCTGGGCTCTCTGAAGAGCCCCTGTCACTTACCTGGCTGGACAGCACACAAAACAGTGTCCTCTGAGCACAAAACTGAACTGAGAAAAGCTGTGTGCTGGCATGAGCACAGTCCAGGGGAAGGTTGCACTCAGTCCATGGACCTGACTTTCAATGCTTGTGTTGGAACACCTTAATCAAACATTTTCATAGCAAAACTCGCACTGTTTGCACAGGGACACCCCAAAGATAATTTGGTCCCCTGGATAAGGATGAGGAGATGGGTTTGGGTATATTTGGATATATTTTCCAAGTAGCTGTGCATCCTCTGTTTTGGCATTGGAGGGATTTCCAAAAGGGAAGGTCTGGTGACCACCGACCGCAGCCGTCTAGAGGTGGCGCATTCCCCCTTTCCCACAGACCCAGCTGCCAAGGGAAGGAGTACAAGCACTGCTGTCATGTTGTCCACGTATTTTCAAAACCTGTGTTCCTACCACCAGCTGAAGGCTTTCTGTGCTCTCCTACAGCCTCACCATAGTTATAGTGTCCATGGGGTATGCCCAGTATGTTCCCTCCCCACAGCTGCTCAGCCTGCCCCTACATTATCCCTACACCCCATAGGCTGTTCCTCACACCCCAGGGAGTTGATTCCCTCTGATGTGTAGGAGGTGACTTATCTCAAACTATTTTCTCCTCATCTTTCAAGTAGAAGTGAGAAGGATAATCCAAGGAGCATTCCCTCATTGATGAGGCATTTCCCATCTCTAAAAGAAACACAGAGGGATGCTGTTCTCACCTCAATGGTACATGCTTAGTGGAAAAGCAAGGACATGAAACCCCTTTTAAAATATCTGCTTTTCATGCATAAATATATCTCTACATAAAGCTGAACTCATTTTAAATAAGCAGGTGAACAGTAGCACAGATATTGCAGTTTTCAATCAAGCAGTACTATTTCCTATAAAAGACAAGGCTTCTCTAATTCTTCAAATGCACCAGCTCACATCTATACAAATAATGGGATTTGGCTGAGTACAGTTTAATATATTTGATTACTTCCCTTTTATCTAGCTCTAGGTTTACTGTACTTTTCCTTGGATGGCAAATAAGAAGCCCTTTTCTTCTAAGTGACAGCAGGGAAAAGAATCAGGTTGCTAATTTACCTGAGACCCAGGAGTGTGTAATGATAGATGTGTGCTGGAAACTACAGAGTGGGCTTTCTAATTTTGGGGGGAGGAGAGAGGGAAAGCGTGAGATTCGTTAATCTTTCAGACTGATGGTGCTTTTGCTGATGGACTTTCATGGTTGTAATTACACACACATCAGGAAACAAATGCAGTGAGAAGTAGAGTTGACAGGAGGCTGGGACCTAACAAAATGTGTCATACAGGAAGCAATTAAAATGGAAAATCACCGTTCTGCAGACAAACAAGGATACAATGTACTCATGGTTAATCACAGTATCTCTCTCAAAGCAAAGGTTACAGACTTACCCACACGGTGTAGGAAGTGAGCACACACACGGTCCAGGAGCAGTTTGGTTAATGAAGCAGAAATCCTTGTGTAGATGTCCAGCTCTGCAGGTCACCAACGCTTCCAAGGATATGTGCCACCTAGGTGTTTGCATGGAAGATCTCCACCAAAATCTTCTTGAAGAGATGTGAAGGAAAGAGGCAGGTGGGGAGGGAGAAGGGAGGATGGATGGCAAGCAGGCACAGGAGGGTCCCACCTATGGTTTAGGTTTCTTTCAAAATGGGTGGGTTTTCAGCCCAAGGGAAAGCAAAAGCCTGGAGCATGCCCACAATGTGACCGGGTGACCGGATCAAATGATCTAAAGCACCAGCAGCTTTGGGGGAAAGTCACTCTCTAGCTATGGAAAGGAATCTGAGCCTAAGCTGAGTTTGCAGTACAGATGTGCTGTTTGTCTGATTTAGGAAATGCTTTTCTCCTCCTCTCCTGGGATTCCTCTGCCTTCTTCTGGAATCTGGGCAGGTCAAGTTCAAGCCAGGGTTTCTCCTGAGGAGGTACATTCACACCAGCCAAGAGAAGAGCAGTGATGCAGGGAGAGGATGAGGCACACACAAGTCAGTGACAGGGACAGTTCAGATGATGTGAAGCAATACCAGCAAATTTAAAAAAAAAATTTAATATCCTAGTAGATTATACCTTCTTTTTGTTCCTTAGAAGATTCAACCTACTAGTTCTTTCCTGGCTTTATTTTAGCTCATTCAGGTATGACCTTGGTTATCCAGAAAAGCAGAAAGATACCATAATTTCCTATAGACATGTTTGTGTATATTCTATACTTCCAGAAGACCCTCAAAATTCCACTGGATCACCAAGCAAGCAGCTTTTGTCTCTGTTGTTTCATAGAAAAAAAGAGATTGTATCATGGCTTTCAAGTAGAAAAAAAAAAATAGAGAAATAATAACATGACCCAACTGCGAAAATATTTTTTTTCATGAACTATACCAATGAATTGGAAATGCAAGTAGTAAAATGAATTGCCAAAAGTATCAAATATATGTTTTCAATAACTTTTTTTTTTGTTACCTAGTAAAATATTTTCCTGGAGAAGGGTTGTTAAACCCCTTGGTGCAATATAAAGGTGCAGTGATGTATTGTCTCAGAAGTGGTTTAATGGAGTTTTGGGGTTCCATTTTTTGTACATACTTTCAACACACGCAGTGCGTGATCAATTTGGATTTATAAAATGCTCTATATTTCTTTCTAAGCAATGATCTTAACTTTTAAAGAATGTTGCTTAGTTAGGAGAGCATGTGTGTGTGTTTGCATTTTGGCAAGGCAGCAAATCACATACAATATTTATGTCATTTGAGAAAAGTATTTGTGCATTTGCCAAAACCAGTCCTTTCTAAGAACCTAAAGGTATTTGATCTGCTCTAAAACACAGTTTTAGGGAGGATTAGGTGTGTGGGAGCACTGGGCAGAGGGAAGACCTGTCCAGTCTGTGGTGTGAAAGGGTAGGATTTTAGACAAACAAACCAGATCTTGTTTCAGCTCAACTCAGACTGTGTTTTTGTTAAAATCTGGTTTTCAGACCTACCTGTGGCTTTGGTGCCAATGAACTGGACTTTTGCAGGGAGATGAGTGGTGCAGGTTGGGCAGCATCACGTGGAGTCTGACCCCAGCTCTCCTGCCGTGCTCCTGTGACAACTCAGAGAAGTCAATTATTATAAAATGTGCAGGGCAAAGATGGCAAAAGGATGATGTCCTGTGTTACACCAGTGATTACCCCTGCTAACTGACCTACTTCATCCATTTCACTGGCAAAAAATAACCAAAAGCTAAGTGTACAGGGATAGGGAAAATGTGAGTGATGCATGATCATGATTTATCCCGATCTCTGTTACTCCTGCTTAATTTATCATAGAATATCCTGAGTTAGAAGGGACTCACAAAGACTATTGATGTCCATCTCCCTATCCACTGGTGTGCCAAGGATCAGGATCTGTCCTGGTATCAGCTGCTGTTGATTCATCTCAGAAGGTGAAAGCCCAGTGCCCTGCTCACACCCCAGCTGGCTGCACAGACCCCCTGAGCTGACATCTTTGTGCCAAATCCAATGATATAACGTTTCACGCAGAGAATTTCTCCATTCCCCCTCCCTTCTTCTTTTGCTTTATCTCTTCCTTCTATCTTCAGCCTGTCAGGACTTTCACATACCTGCAGCTGACAGCTAAGAGATCAGGAACTTTGATGTTGTAAGGGATATTTTATCTCAGGTAATTCTCACCAATTCCTACCTTATTGTGTAGGATATCCAAGGACTCCGAGAGTGAGCAACGCCTTTGTCTGGTAAGATCAGAGCAATTTGCAAGCTTTTCTGGGAACAAGGTCCAATAAAGGGACTTTAGAGATATAATCTGTCAACCCCATTGAGCAGCACTGTGACAGCAGCCTTAGGATTATTGACAGTTTAAGCATCACCTGGGACAGAACAAGGCTGAGGGCACACAGTTAGTTGCAGTTATGTGCAGTAAGACATTGTTTGCTGAGGAAGCATAGGAAACCCTTTATATCCGAATTTACCAAGTTTTGACCTAGTTTCTCCCTCAGGCAAATAACTGACTCTACAGGGACCTGCTGCATTTTGGTAGGAGTTTGAAAAAAATCCAATCTTTAAAGTGCAACCTCTAATTTACAAAACTGACCAGATTTTGTGGCTCTAAGTTGGAAGGGTCACCCAGTAGAGCCAGTCCCAAGCCTGCAGTCACTGTGCAGAGGGTGGACTCCCGCCCCAGTCCCCTGAGTCTGGTGAGTTTGTCACCTGTGCTGTGAGGCTCTGGCATCACAAGCAGGTGTGAGGATATTCAAAGCCTTTTCTCTTGCCAGTCCTACGGTAAACACCATGTGGGGCACTGGTAATGAGGGCTGTGGTGCCCTGAGCACTGTGTTTGAAATCCTCTTCACTCTGTACCTTGCTCTGTTCCTTTAAACCTCCTCATTCCTGGTGCTGGCAGAGATTTACCAGGGATCAGCCATCCATCATCTATCTCTTCAAGCAGCTGTGGCATGGAGTTCCCTAGAAAATGACTGATGGGAAATGCTCAGCAGGTCTGTCCTCAGTTGTTTTTGCTACCCACAAGTTTGCTCACCTCACCAGGGCTTTGCTGTCCTCACTATATTTGATTTTTGAGGAATTTCTCCATTATCCCATATTATTTCTGAAATAATTTTTCTCCCTCACTAGGCAAACATTTGCTTATTTTATTTTCAAATACAACAGTATCCTCTTTCCCAGCAAATGCTCAGGCCTCACATTTTTATAAACATATTAACAAAAACCCCAGTTCACCCTCAGTGGCCACAGCTTGGCCTCTCCCAGCAGTAACTTCAGGATAACAGCTTTCTGCAGAGGCAAGTAAGGGGCCTGTATCCATCCATGCTGGTCTCTATCCATGTCCTTGTTTCCTTAGTCATCAAGCTGATGTTAGTGTTGCTCCTGGTAGGTGCTTAAGCTTCCAGAGTAATTGATCTCTGCTGATTGATGATCATCTGTGTTGAGTGCCAACCCATAATCAAGCCTTGGATTGCTCCCCAAGTTCCTTTTCTCTTACTGCTCTCCCAAACTTTTACTCATCCTTCATACCACATTCTCTGCCTTCATCAAGGATGTTGTTGTCCTCATCCAGCACTTTGCAGGTAGAAATCCTCCCATGGTTCAGTGGTGGCTTCATAGAACAAGCTGCAGCCCAAACACTGACACCAGCATGTGGTTTTGTTTGGCTTCCAAGAACCTGCCACAAATCATTTGGCTGTTTGCTTGTAGTCCCTTTCCAGCCCCTCCACTACACCTGCTGAAAATGCTTTTGCTGATGGCAGAGCCGTGCAAAGCTGTGTCCACCTGGAGAAGCACCAGAAGCAACAGGCAGTGAGCAGGGCAGGCAAACATCCAACCATCCAGCTGGAGCAAAGGGGCTGCCAGCAGCTGGACACCAGGGGAGATGATGCTGGAACTGCTGCCAGAGGCTGAGGCTGCTCCTGAGGTTGCACCCGGGAACGCAAGAGTGCAAATTTCACAATTTCAATGTCTCCCCCTGCCCTGGGGCTTGTTTATTCTTGTGGCAGGTGTCAGAAGCAGAGCAGTGGCAGAACGGATCAGGAAGCAGCTGTGGGTGGAATAAGAGAAGAATCCCACCAGCCTACATTGGGAATGGGTCTGCCTTCCCACGAGGGCAGAGCAGTGCTTGGTCCCGGGAGCGAGGTGGTGCCTCTGCGCACCCACCCGGCACCCGACAGGAGGCTCTTGCAACAGCTCCAGAGCGTTTCCTTGGTAATGAATTCCAACTTGTTTTCCCAAATTGCCTCATAATGACTCAGTTTGAATCTAATGATGCAATCCTGAAGGGAATCATTAGCTCCCGGCTAGGAGGGTCGGCCACTCTCCAGCTCCAGCCCACGAGGCTGCTGATTGTGGCGTGGTTTGGAGCAGCTCTGCGTACCCCGGCTTGGTGCGTGCCAGCTCTGGGGTGTACATTCTTTCTGGGGATACCTCACCCCATCCATCCATCCATCCATCCATCCATCCATCCATCCATCATCCATCCATCCATCCATCCATCCATCATCCATCCATCCATCCATCCATCCATCCATCCATCCATCCATCCATCCCACTGCAGCTCATGCCAGCGCTTCCCTCTGAGTCTCACCAGGTTTGGAGGGACAGTGTGTTTCCAATTAGGTGAGAACACAGTGATGGTGTTACCTCCCTGCTGAGTTGGCCTTTACAGTTCAGACCCTCTTATCAATCCCTGCTATGGTCCCTTCCTCACTGCAGCTCAAGGACCACATGGAGAAGGGACTTATGGAGAGTTCTGCAGAGCAAACATCTTTTTTCCTGCCTGCTACCCATGTGACAGAAAATCTGACCAAATCACAGAACAGAAAAAAAAGGAGAATTTTCAAGCCACTGCTGGTGTTGTGTCTACATTGTGTGACACAAGAGGTGCATCACCATGCCAGATCCAGCCCCAGATTAAAAGGCCTCCCACCAACAGCCTTTCCCACAACACCTGAAGCAACTTGTGCATGGGCTGCTGAAATGTCACTAATTCTACCTTCCAACTGATGATGCACTTCAAACTTCTTCACCCTGCTGAGGTAGAATCCTGACAGTGACAGCTTTACCGAGGGTCACGCCCTGATGTAATTTGTACTCCGGAGTTGGATTTTCCAGCTTGTGCCTTAACTCCAGCACAGGGTGTTAAATGATTTACTGCAGAGAGACAGTGGCCAGGCCAAGAGTAAAACCCAGGTATTAGTTAGTTATCATTAGTCCCAGGATACTATGACAACCAACTAGTGTTAGAAAACATTCCCTGCCACTGCCTCACACTTTTATTTATCAACAAAACCAGATTTACTTTGTTTTAGTCTTAGCAAGACTCTGTTGCACTGGAGACCACTTAAAATGAGATTTATCTTCCTTGGAATAAATACAGACTCTTGCATTTGTAATTCATTCCCCTCCTATTTCTAATCTCATTTCTATTGAATGCATTGTTTTGCTTCCCATTATTTATAAAATGAGATCATTAAAATGAATATTGGAACTCAACAGGTTTGAGGCAGGAAGAAAATTCCCTGCAGAGACATCCCAAGCAGAATTCCTTGGGTTGCTGCAGAACCTTATGGTTTGACAGTTTGGGGGCTTCCCACTCTGTTCCCAACCCAAGCAGTGACAAACCTCCTTCCAATCCTTAAAAAAGCAGCCACTTTTCATCTTGAGTGGGGCAAATATCAGGGATGGATGAAGCAGCTCCTGATGAAAAGAATCAAGAGATCCTCAAGGATGCTTTTAGAGCAGGTTGTTTTATGATCCTTGGGAATACAGCAGCAGGTTCTGGATGCAAAGAAGATATTTGGCTTTTCCTCATTAAACTTCTACATGTAAAAAACAAAGGAAAAATAACAAATTCAGATCTAAAAAGTAAAGGGAAAAAAGAACAAGTGCCATCTAACAAAGCTTAACTCTGGAGTGAATCCACTGCAAACTAACTTTACTCTGGTTTAATACTGATAAACATTGGACTAAGAACAGCAAATCCCAGCTCTCTCCTCATTCCCAAAAGACACAAACATGAAGATCTAAGCATCTACAGCTATGTATTGCATAAAATATTTCCTGGTTGGGAAAATCTCATGAGACAACAATCAGTAACAAGATGGTGCAAATAATTAGTTTAATTGAAAGTAAAGGCACACTGCTAAAAATAAAGAGATGAAAGTAGTTTTCCCTTTGCCAGTTTTAGTATGAGCAATAGTAGAAGCAGCTGCATTTCAACCCATTTTGCAGATAACTACGAGGGGCATTCTGGAAGCTACACAGTTTAATTGCACAGGCTACCCTTTAATTTAGGGTGGTGAGAATGATATGAAGGACTCATTAAACTGGGGCATTAACCATGGCAGAAAATAAAGTAGTTTCTTTGTTGGAGAAGATCTTGCTGCCCTCCAATCACTACAGTAAATTGTTCCTGGGAAAGGCAGCGGGGTAGGATGGGGAGATAGAGACATGTTGAGATAGAGGGAAGCAAATGAAAAATAATTGGTACAGTGCTCTGCAGATTGTATGTCACTGCAGACAGTTATTTAATAACTCTCCAATTATTGCTGCCAGCTGGGGTATATTAAGACATTGTGAGAAGTCAGGCCAAAATCCCCCAGGCACGACTGCTGACCTGGCCCTGTGCTTCCTTCCTCCCTGAGGATGAGGAGGGGGCAGGCTGGGGGCAGGCTGTGGCCTCTGGGCAGCCCAGGGGGATGTGCTCCCCTCTTCCCAAGGGATTGCAGGGCCTTGCCCACCCCTCCTGCTCCCAGCTTTAAAGATGAGGTGGTGTAAAGCCCATTCCCATATCCTTCCCGTGGGACACAGGGTGACTCTGGCTGAGTCTCCTTCAGAGTGATTAAGTGTGGTGTGACAGGCAGTTCATCCAACAGCAGCTCTGGGTGAGCCAAGGGCATCTCCCTCTGTCCCTGGAGCTGGCTCAGCTCCCACAGCTCTGGTACTGACAAAGTCTGTGCAACATTCATCCTCCACAGCTGGGAGCCAGGAGCTCTCTCAGCCATCTCGCCTTGCTTCTCCTCTCAGCAGCGACCTGGTGCTCTGAGTGTTTCCCTGTCTTGGATTTCACTGTCCCCCATCTCTTACCCACTGCAAGAGCTCCATGTCACCCAATTTGTGTCAGTTTATTGGGTGATATCGAGGCCCTGGATGGTTTTGGGTTGGAAGGGACCCTAGAGACCATCTCATTCCAAGCCCTCTGCCAAGGGTAGGGACACCTTCCACTAGACCAGGAGTTCATGTGCAAACCACAGGTGAGCTCCAGCCCAGAGCCCATGGCTGGTGGCCAGCTAATATCATAGTGGGCCGAAAGGAAGGCCTAGAAGCTCTTCAAGCTTGGAGCTAGAGTCCAGTGGTCACTGGGGAGCCACCAGACATTTCTGCAGGGAGCTTCTCAACCTTAGGGGCTGCCACTGAAGCTCTGGAGACCAGAGCCCTGGGATTACCTGGCCTTTCTGCTTATTACAGCACAACCTCAAATCCCCATCACCTCTCTGAGAACCACAGAGGAAAACCTGGCATTGGGAACCTCAGGGGCTTGAAAGCCCAGCTGCAAACTGAGAGCCCAGAATACACTGTCTGAGACCTGTCACCTTGTCCTTATTTCCCAACAAAACAAAGCCTTTTTAATGACTCCTTCCCCAAGCTCAGGATTGGGTCTGTAAAATAGAAACTGTACTTCAATACCAAATGAAAAACATGACTCACAGACTGTAATTCCTTTCTGCAAATACCAGAGGAGAATATTTCATTTGGCAAACAATCGAGCCTTACAGTTTAGAGCTCTTAATGTGATTAGGGACAGGTTCTGCAACACATTTGTAACTCCAGGTGATTTTGCTATATCTTTTTGGACTGTGACCAGACATAAAAATGCCCTTTTGCTAGATTTGGATCCAACTAAAACTGAGGAGAATCAGATGTCGGTAAGACCTTTACAGTTTGATCTTTACCCAGGGGTATCACAACATGTTTCAGCTATGGGCTGTGCTGAGCCATCTCAGGCTCTTTTTTGCATTAAGCCCATATCTCCCCTGATGAGTGATAACTCTTCTATAGCACATCTTCTGTAAGTGAGCACGTGCTACTCCTCTGAGTTACTGTGATGTACTTACAGGGAGGAAGAGAGCACTAATATTTTCATTGGCTCTATGGACACATCTTTGCCTCCTTTAAATCTTTGAACACCCTGGTCTTGTGGAAGGTGACCCTGCCTGTGGCAGAGGAGTTGGAACTGGATGATCTTTAAGGTGCCTCCTAACCCAAACTATTCTGTGATCCTATGATTCTGTAATTTTCAAGTGCTCAGAAGGTGCCAGTCTTATTTAAAATGATCTGAGACCAGGTTCCCCCTCAATTTAGAAGAGCCCAGCATTCAATCCTGAAAGAAAAAGCCGCAGAATTTAATGGGTTCAGTCCTATCTCACACTCTGTCTGTGTTTCTGCCTTGCCTACCAAAGGTAGGGCTGCAAATAAATTAAATTGAGAGCAAAATTTACAGGGGAAGGAGGTGGAAGGACAGCACTGCAGAGAAAAGAGACATTGTTCTGTACATGCAGCTGAGAAACAAAACCAAGCCTGACCTTTACACTATTGATAAGAAAATCTCAAGTTTCTTGTTCATGAGGATGCATCCACTGGCTTCACCAGGGCTGGTAGTCAGACTGTCCTTTCCCACATCTCACCAGGAACTTTTTATGGGAAGAACATCCACTGCTCAACCAAAAACTGGATGAGTTTAGCTTCAACCAGCATTGTGGCAAGATGAAACTACAGAATATTTATGGCATGATATTAAACAAAAAAAGGCAGAGGGAAAAAAAATACACATTCTAACAGATTTATCTCTTCATAAGAGGAGGAAAATTAAAGGTCAAACCTCCACCATTTTACCAAGCAGGTGGCTCAAAGAAAAGTCAGCAATGGGAAAACCAGACCAAGGCTGTGCACATGAAAGCCTTGCTCCCACTAAATGGCCATCACAGCCAAGAGACAAAGCGTAGGTATTTGAAGTGTTTTATGATGCTGTTAATCTCTCTGACCCTGAGAGCGGATGCTTCGTTGGGTAGCAGTGGCAGCCTGGGTATCCAACATCCTGGAGCTTCTCACCTCCATCAGGAACAGGCAGAAGGTCTAATGGCAGGAATCTGAGGTCAGCAGCATTCAAATCAGAGAGGAGACATCTGCTTTGGAATGAGGGCAGCCAACCACTGGAACATGTCAGGAAGGAATGCAGCGGATGCCTCAGCACTTTGTCTTCAAAGCAAGGAGTGAATTTCTCTTCTGCAGAGATGTGCTCCAGCTATGGGTTACCAAGGCTGGGGGGAGAAGTGGCTTTGTTAGAGTGAATGATGGACATCTGTAAGTGTCCAGCTTGTGCTGTACTGGACCAAAGTGTCACTGAATAGTCCATGTGTGAGTAATGTCTGTGGAATTGCACATACAAAGCCAGAGAGGGTGACGGAAACCCTGACACCAGCAGCAGGCAGAGACAAGCCCAGCAGCAGCTGAGCAAATCTAATTAAGCCAAATATCTCAGGACTTTACTCTTCTGTGCTTTTCCTGATTTTTTTTTTTTTTTTTAATGCCATGGGATGAACATTAAGGCCAAAACAACATATCTGGCTTTTACAGCGCTTTCACAACCTGGGCATGAGGCCAGACTGCAGAGCAGGACTGGCCAGGGATGTGGTTTGGTGCTGTGCCTGTGCCAAGGCTGCTGGGACCCCAAGTGGCCCTTGGGCTGGATCCTCCACCAGCACCAGCCCTTCCTTCCCTTGCACAGGGCTGGATTTCTGGTCATTTTTAGATCCCTGAGCCATCCCACCCTGGCTCAAAGGGGTGATGGGTTTATGGATCAGCAAATCCAGCCATGGCAACTGCAGTGCTGGCCATGAGCTGTCTCTGGGGGGCATTCCCAGCCCCATCCTGCCACCTTGGTGCTGGCAAGCACCAGGACTTGTCTAGGCACATAATAAGCTGAAAACCCATCTGGTTTTGTGCGTACAAATATCTCCGCTATATTTGGAGTTTCCCAAGATTTCTTGCCACCTGGGCACAAGGAGCTGTCACACACAGAGGATTTTCCAGCATGCAGGCATGGGATCAATTGCAGATAAAAAACCTGATATTTAAAAATTATTTTTCCCATTCTTATCCCCATCCTTTTTTTCTTTTTTTAAAATATGTTTTTTAAAAAGCTTTCATTTTGTTCCTATCTGTACCGTATGCAGCTGTCAAGGCCCTCAGCTGAGATGCAAGAGATGCAGGTCCAATTCCTCCCTCCAGCCCAGGCAGATTCTTTCAGCTTCTGTCAAAACTACATCTGAGTGCAACGGGCATGAGAAAAAAATAATAAAAAATATAATGATTCAGCAGGTCAGAAAACCACACACAAAAACCCCCGGATCTTGTGACCTTAATAGTCATTCTCAGGAAAAAATAACTGGAAAAAGCTTGAAGCAGCTGCAGCATCTGGGTTCACCCCATCCCAGGGGTTGGATTCCCTCAGATCCCTTCAAATTTCTCGGGGAACCTTAAAGTTGCTCCCTGCAGTGCTTGACTCCAGCTACCTGGGGAATGGGGATGGGATAAAGTCTCACGGTTCACAACAGCAATGGAGTGAATCCAGGCATAGTCTGCAACAAGGATATGAATATCTGTGAAGGAAAACAAAAGCTCATCTTCCTCTGGTTTGTGCTTTCAAAGGTTTCTTGAAGCTTTCTGATATTCTTAACTGGTGTAAATCACGTAGCTCCCCATAAGCCAAGAAATCAACAACTATAATTTAGGATTCTGAACCAGTTCTAAAGAGAAAAGTGTCTTCTGTTCAGAACCATAAAAAGTTATATAAACCCCCCAAACGATCTGTTTTAAAACATATTCAATAGTTCTTGGACTGCAGTGGGAAAGAAGCTGGGTTGTTTTCACTGCCAAGAAAGAAAAAATTTCAATGTTTTCAAATATTTCCAATACCAGATGCCCCGGTAAAAATTTTTTAGTCCGTTTTAAAAACCCTTATTTCTTAAAAAGCCATTTTGCATGGAAAACATACCATATGTAAGCAATACTCCAGGCAGTGTGCAAGGACCACACGCTCCCAGCTCAGCCCAGGGACAGGACACCCAGCACTGCAGGGATGGATGTGGTCAGATGGATGGGAATAGGGAGCTCAGAGAGGTGTGACTGAATCCAGCCGGGTTCTCAACACCCTCTTCTTGCTCAGGGTGTGCTGGAGGCTGGTACTCAATATTGGAAAATTCTGTCCCAGTGGGAGCGAGGAAAATCAGAAGGACTTGGCTGCATGGAGATACAGAGCACCAGCTTCCACATCTTTAATCACCCCTGACATCTTTTATTGCCCTGGCAATTGAAAGGTTTTTTGCTGAGAGCCTGTGGAGGGAGGTAAAGGTGATAGAACATCAGAGCACAGTCCAATCGTGGGACATCTGTCACTTAGAACTACTCCTGGTGCCTTTCAAAGGAATTGGTTTCCCAAGGGCAAATCCACACAAGACAAATACCTTGGATGTGGAAAGAGAAAGGAACCCAATGTCCCTAAGGGTGAAAACTCATGGCTCTGTGTCAAACCAACCAGCTTCAAGCACCATAACTCAGCAATCATTAAAGTCTTAAAACTTGCTCTGTGGGTATGAGGGTGCAAGGACATGGAGGGTGAATGAGGAGAGGCTGGGGCAGGTCTTGCACTGAGTTGAACAATCCAAATTTTAATTAACAGAAAGTATTGCTAAAGGAGGTAATCAAAACAGCAGGCTGATCACACAGCCTCCTTTCTTTGCCTTCAGAACAATACTTCACTTCTCAGGCACTTAAAATTAGATGAATCCCAGAATGGTTTGGGTTGGACAGGACCCCAAAGCCCATCTCATTCCACCCCTTGCCATGAGCAGGGACACCTCCAGGCTGCTCCAAGCCCTGTCCAAGCTGGCCTTGAACGCTTCCAGGGATGGGGAAGATACAGCATCTCTGGGTCACCTCTGCCATGGCCTTCCCACCCTGTGAATCAGTAATTACCATCACCACTGAACCTGCAAACTCTAAATACACAGTGAGAGCTGCTGGGTCCTCCCAGTGTGGATCTGTTACAGCGAGAGTGTGTCTGTAGCTGCAGCCTCCCCCCATCCAAGCCACCTGATGGAGGGTGAGGATGGAGGTTACACACAGCCTCCCACAAGAGACAGGCTTCAAGGAGGTGTTTTATGAGCTTTTTCCACAGCTTGGACCCTTTGAGAAACTTCCAGGTGCAGTTTCCCATTGCTCCCTTGGTTCCATGGCCACAGAGGTCTGCACGTGGGTGTACAATGGGGGTGACAAGTAGCAGAGGGGTCTGCTAACCTAAGAAATTCTTCCTCTGTCTCAGTCTTTCACCAGAGCCCAAATAAAAACTGCTAAATGTCACAAGGGAATCTCTGGATAATGCAAATAACAGCACCAGCAGAATGCTACAAGCACTGCATATTCCTCCTGCAGGATGTCCACAGGTGGTCACCACCCATCTGCCCCGGGGGGCTAAAATCTACCTAAAATTTTCCACCTGCCCTCCCCAGTCAGCCCCAGCCTCTGTCCTGCAGAACCATTAATTAATAAGCTTCCCACCACTGACATGGCATTTAAAGGGACACCATCACGTAATATCTGTTTTCAATCACAAATTTGGGAAGAATAAGGTTTTATATACCTTGAGGCCCCAGGAGGGCTGGAGTGGTGATGATGATGATCCTTTAAATAACAGCAGATGTCAAGACCTGGAGGAATCATTTTTCTTCCAGAGGAGGAAGCAGTGGTGAAACAGAGATATCTCCATTGAGCAGAACCTGCCTTTTCTCCCATCGTGTTGGCTCTGTTGAACCAAGGGAAAGGGAGAGCTCAGGACATCCCTTCCCCTCACTGAGCAAACCTGAGGTGGCTGTGCCAGCTGCCCTCAGCTGTGCAGACACCAGAAGGGAACATCATGATCCTCATTTTATCTGAGCATCTCTGCTCCAAGACACCTTCATCCAGGACACAGCCTTGTCCAGGGTTTAACAGAGCACATATGGGCACTTCCATGGTATTAGAACAGTTCAGTGGAGAAAAAACTCCTCAGAAATGCAATGTTACTTTCCAGCATGATCAAGACAGATTTTTAAGGGCATCTCAGTAGAAGGTAAATGCTTAAAATTAGAGTCCTGGCTTAGAGCAATTGGGCACTTGTGTCCCAGTGTCCTGGTTCATCTTTGTGCTGTGGCTCAGACCAGGTGCAGAGCTGTCCCCTGTGCATGTCCAGAGCAGGGGGATCCTTGGCTTAGCCAAAGCAACTGTGGGTATTTTCTCCAGGGCACTGGTGTAGGGGTTTAATCAGCCTGATTATTTCAAAGCTGGCAGAGCAGCTCAGCAGAAGGGAAAAGGAACCAGACCACAGCCTGAGTTAACAACTTCTTTGTTCCCCAGGAAAAACCCACCACCTTCATCTGGCGACAGAAGCAGGGCAGAAAGTGTATGAGCTCAGAGCAACCAGAGGCACAGCCCAGGCTCCAAAGCCAAAGCTTTGAGTTCTTTTAAGTAACCCTGAGCTGGAATATCTGCTCTTGGAGCCCAGGACACAGAGCCCAGGCTCTGCCTGCAGCTCTTTGTGGTGTCCCACAGCACCTTTCTGGTCCCAAAAAGTTTCCAACTCCTTGCTAGCAGGATCAGGGCACAGCCTGTGTTCCTCCCCCACCCTCACAGTACTATAATCAAAATGCTTTTTGTTTTGCTGGAGCTTAATTTTGAGTATGTGACTCCAAACTTATCCTTCTGGGATTGGATTTCGAACCCAATTCCATGCTGGAAACCACTAATTTTCTTAGGACCATTTTCAATGTGGTAGAACTCTGCTTTTGGGCAAAGGAAAACTGCTTATTTCCACTATTTTTAATAAAAAAGATTCAAGAACAATTCAACAGATTTTATCCCTAGTGGCTCTCAACCCCAGATCCAGTTTCGACTCAAGCACAACCCTAAAACTTGACCCTCTATTCAGCCTCAAACCCCAAACCTTTCCACAGGCTCTGGGTGGAAAGTTACTGACCCTGTAGCTGAGCCAACTTTCAAAACAAAAAATAACTTGCCTGATGAAATTTTTGTAGGAAAAAAAAAATGCACACGCGCGCACACGCACACACACGCACGCCATATATACCAGGAGGGATTAAATCCTCATGTTGCAAGAATTTAATTTAAAAAAGCTAAGACATTGTAGGAATGCAAAAATATCACCTCAGCCTGGTAACCTTTGGCTTAGGCATGCACTTCCACAGCTCACAAACGGGAATGTTTCCTCTCCAGCTCTGGGAGGACCGGTGCCACTCAGGAATGCCTGGCTTCAGCCCAGTTCAAAGAGGAAACCAGCAACCCTTTACTAGTGGGGCCTCTGTAGGCTCCTGGGGGCAGCCTCTCATCCCATGGCCTTGTTTTAATTCCCACTTTCTCCACCATGTTCTGAGTGCCCCAACCCCAAAGGAGCTGCTAAGGAGGACCAAAGATGGGTCTTTGCCAGATGCCATGTATTTCCCCCTGTGAATCCACATTATTATTTTCCTTTGTTCTTGGACAATAAAGCTCTAATTTCATTCCTACTCCAAACCCCAAGGTGTCTGCAGTGCTGCTGTCACCTCACTGCTGTGAATGCCATTGGGAAGGACACACTGGCGTCTCCAAGTTCATTCAAACCAGAGAGAAACATCCCTTGGGAAATACTCAGTACCTGCACAGGGGCAGGAATAAGTTCATTTCACACCAAGATTAAGCCTTTAACAGGGCCCTGTGCATTAGCAGAATTCCTGGCATGTCCGAGCCTCGTTTAAAAGGTGGACGGGAAAGTCTCTGCTGATCTCAAGTTAATCACGACAACCAAGGGACCGACCTGCAGGAAACAATCCTCTAGGTACTGACGTTACCCACATAAAGCCAGCAGTTCCTCTGGTTTATTGGCTGTGTTTTTCCCCCCAGCAGGCTTAATTTATGGTAATTACAAGGAACTATGGATTAAATTAATAAAAAGGAAATTATTAAGCTTTCCTGACCCAGAGGCCAAAGGTAAATAAAGAGAAGCAAACTGTTCAAGATGGAAACACTTCCCTGCTGCTTTTGGGACTGGCAGAGAAGTCTTTCCATGCAGCAAGAGAGAGAATAGGATTTTGGGAAGGAGCTGTCTCATCTCAGATACTGGACAGGACCATCACGACCCCCAGTCTGGGGAGCCCTGAACCATCATGGCATAACTGTTCCCTGGTAATGGAGTGAGCTGTGAACACTGTATGAAACAGCAAAGAAGGCAGAGATCTCTGTCAGATGGGAAGAGACTATAAAAATAATATAATACAGAAATCCAGCTTAGTTCAAACTACACCAAAGTCCAGGGTCCTGCTCTACATCCAGCTCTGCCAGCTGATCAGGAGTAATTCTCTCCTGCCTGCCTGGTCAGAGCACATTTACTACTGCTTATAATTCTTATATACATTTCATATTTTAAATTGGAATTTCAAATGTTATGCTGTTGCAGAGACAGACCATTGGCATTTGCCAGACCTGGCCTTGCCATTCTTGGGTAAAAACATGGATTGTGCTCACTGGAGGCAGAGGGGATGGCTCCAACTCTTCTTTCCCTGCTGATCAGTGTAGAACAAAGACACCGAGTTTTGCTCAGTAATAATCCTGGAACTCATCAGCCTCTCCCCTACCAAGTTCCTGCAATGAGCACTCCCAGCTTCATCAGCTCCATTTCTCACCCTCTGTCCAGTGTGAAATCTGTCTGCGGCATAACCTGAAATTCATCTCATGCTCTGCCACCAACTTTGGGCCCTGTAAACAGACTCATCCAATGTGGCCAATTCCATAACAAAAAGTTTCACAATTTTTAATATGATATATATCTACTTAAAAAAAGGACAAAAAAAAAGAAAAAAGAAGGGGTTGATACAAAGTTTACAAAGTTCCAAAGAATATCTGAAATCACCTCTTTCCTTGCACAGATTAAGTAAATGCAGCACACACCTGAACTTGTATTTAAATACATCCTGACTGTATTTCAGAAAAAACTCCTACAAGCTTGAATGCTGAGAAAGGCAGTGAAACCCTCCTGGAAGCAGCTCTGGCAGGGCAGGCACGAAGCAGCGTAACCAACATTTACAGTGGCCAATTGTTAGAGTGAAAACAAACCTGCCAGATTGGATGTCACAGGGAGGGATATCAGCGTCTGATCTCGCTCAGGACGGGACATGGGGGTACCTGGAGCCTTGTCAAACTCAATGCTCTCATGTAGTAGGTTGAATAACAGAACAATGTTTACATTTCCCCTTGTGCCCTAAGTAGTTTGGAAGTTGGACACCTGAAAAGCCTGAATGATTTTTAAAGCAGCGCCACTGTTGGGTCTTGATCACCAAGGCCTTGGCTGTTCCTTACTGGTATTCAAGAAAATAAGACCAGAAAAATCCTAACAACCCCAAGTTATTTCTGCTTCTGAGCCTGGATATTCAGTATAAACAGTATAAATTATGGAAAATCTAGGAGGTTTCTCCCACTGTGGGAGCCACAGCAACCTAAAATGCAACCATCCCAGCTGGGGACCTGATGAATTCCATCCAAGAAAGAGTTTTCTTGATTTTCTTCCATATTAACACATTGAAACTTAATATTGAAAGTTCCTTACATATATTAAACAAAATGCAGTTCATAGCAAAAAGTGTAAATTGAAGCACATAGGAAACAAACATCCTGAGTGCATTAGAGAACAATAAACGCTGCATAACAAATGCACCAAAATCATAGAATTACAGAATATTTGGAGCTGGAAGGGATCCACAAGGATCATGGAGTCCAGCTCCTGGCCCTTCACAGGACACCCTGTCCCAGAAATAGGGTGGAAGTAGTAAAAGTCTGGTGAAAGAGGGGATGACTTCTCTGATACCATTTAATCATTCCTCCTCAGTGCTGCCCACTCTCCAGAGGAAGCCACCTCCTTCCATCCTCTTAAGCTCCCAGCTCTCTGATCCTCACAGCCAGCCTGGATCCCAACACGCTTCAAACACAAAATTGATAGTTTCAAAATTCAGCTTCATCAATCTCTTCTAAACTCATGTGCTCTCCAGAAAAGTGAGTCCAAATCCAGTTTGAATTGGACCATTTCATCTCATCCTGGGCTCAAATGATTGTCAGTCCATCAAACGCTTCTTTGAAAACTGATTTCTTGCAGATGACCATGATTGCTATAAAACAGTATTTAAAAACATTTTAATATTTGAAAATAACTTTCCTCTTATATCAACCACATGTTTGAGAGAGGGCCTGGGGTTTACCACTGCTTGGTGAGAAAAATAGCAAAAAGGAGAAAGGATAATGGGGTGATAATGACTGGGAATGTATGGATTGAATTTGGGCTCTATTTAAATACAAGAGGACAATTTGTGACTTGTTGGTGTAGGCAAGCACAGAGAAACATTTGTGGCTCAAGTGTGTGTTTGAATATAGAAAAATATCTTGTAGCAAAGTATATTTCTTTTAGCACAGACAAACTCTGATGGAGCTGCCAGCTGCTGAAGTTGTGGTACTCCCCCAGTCCAAGCAGATGGGCTCTGTCTGACTGGGAATCCTTCAGAAGATTTATTTGGGCACTACTGCTGTAGGCTGGGAGCCCTTTGGCACCACCAAGCAGAACCCATCCCACTGCAGACCACAGCCAGGAATAAATAAAAACTCTGCCTCCACCTTGTGCCCCCAAACTCCTCCCTCTGTTTGACCTATTCCTATTGAGCTTTGACTTGGCAGTACTTAGTGAAAGAGCCAACACAAAGCTACACTTCAACCAGGAGCATCAGCAGAATAATTTGAATTGTTGGCCTAGATGATGCAGTTGGAGTAGATGATTGTAGGTCCCATTCAACAGAAAATATTCTACTCCACCCTATCCTATTCTATCCTAAAGACAGAAACCATAGAGAAACCAGGTCTGGTCCCATTTGACTCAGGTCTGATGGCTCAGGGATTTCTGCTGTTTTTATGATGCTGCATTTTAAGGAGTTTGGTGACAACACTTCAACCTCAGTTTAGTCACTGCCAGGCTTCCATGAGTCAGATCATTTTGCTAAACAGTTTGTCACGTGCTCTGCTGGGGGCAGGGAAGTCAGGTTGAATTTTGCCATTAGAAACTACTAAATAAAATTACCTGAAAGTGAATTTTGACTACAGGGATGCTGGCTTGTGATCCCCTTACAAGAGGTCTTATTTTAGAGCAGAGTCACTTTGAGTAGGGTCTCAATAGGGACCAAATTTGTTACTCTCCATGTAAACTGAGGCACATTGAAATAATTGTATTTGCAAAGCCACTCTCCAGGCTGGGCAGAGAAGCTGTAGCTTCCCCATCCCTGGAAATTTTCAAGGTTGGACAAGGCTTGGGGCAACTTGGCCTAGTGGAAGGTGTCCCTTCCAGTGACAGGGAGTTGGAACAAGATAATCTTTGAGGTCCCTTTCAACCCAAAACATTCTATGAATAATAAGAGTTAAAATTTATCAGTCTCTGAAAAGCAAATAAAGCTGTAGGAGACACACACAGAGCTGCTACACCAGATCCTGATGGCTTTTGTGATTATTCATAGTCACTTGTTCTTTTTCTCCCTGGTCTGTCCCACTTGTCTGAAAAAAAGATGCAGAGCAGGAAACAGAGAATACAGAGAGGCTTATAAAAACATTCTTCCCTATTAAGCAACTGGGCTGATTTTCACTGTGTGAAAGATGAAGCAGATGGAACAAAACACTTACCTGTACATCTCCATTCCTGATAGAAACCCTCGATTGCCTTTGTCACTTTAGCACATGAACATGAGGCCAAATGAAACACATGTTTACAGCTATAATGAGGATTAGCTTTGCACTAAAAAAGTTGAACTACAGTCAAAATTAGATGGTGACATGGGTATTTGCCAACAGCATTAAATGAGAAATAACAGAGTATGAGGTTTCTGGAATGAATAGAAAATGTATTGTTTAGAGACCTTTTTGGCCAAGTATCAACATATGCCAATACTTAAGACTTCTTGTTCTTATTTACTTACCCCAACAATAAAACAATTGTTGTTTTGTGCCAACAGCCTGATAGACTGGTCCTGTATCTTAAGAAATAGAGATTGGATATTATTTCTGTCATATCAGCTTCAACCTACTTAAAAAAGAAAAAAAAAGAAAGAAGAAAAAAGAAAAAAGAAAAGCAAGTAATTGAGTCCAGAGCAGAGGAAATAAGTGAAGGAGGTAATCGATTTTAATAACATATAGCATCAACACACATTAAGGAAATTCATAAAACAGAGGGAAAATAAAGCATTTGCCCATATCAGAAAACCAGGCAGTGTTTGTAACTTCACTCAGCTCCAGGCAGAGATTATTGGTGAAGCCTCAACCACAGCAGTGATTATCTTCAGTGCCTCCATCAGCCTGAGCCCAGAACAGTCAGGTAACCACCCTCATTCCCATTAAAAACCAGGCAAACTGATGAATGAAAATCCTAGGAAATTCTGTTCAAAGCAGAAACATTAAATATACTTGCAGTTGAAACATTCAGGTCCTTCCCTGGCCCAACTTCTCTCCATGGTATTGCCCACTGCCAGGCCACCCCTGTGCTCTCACTCCTTGCAGCGTTTCCACCTGGGACTGTGCCTCCATGCTCGTGCCATAACACTGCAGCTGGAATAGATAGAGACCCACAGCAGAGCTCACTCCATTTTAAGGCAGATATTGTCAGTAAAAACCACAGGAAATCCTTTGCATTTTGGAATGATTTTTCCCAAAGCTTTTCACTTCACCCAGACCAAGACAGATTTGCTCAAGCTGATTTTCAGGTGGCATATCATGGGTGTGACATAACGTGGGTTTGGATGGGGGCTGACCTTGTACATGGTGGGGGGGGACTCTGCTACTAAGACTAGAAAAAAGTTCAGCTCTGTTAGTTGTTTGGGGAAAATGGAAAAAACTCTGGAGTTCTGATGGCTTTTGTCCACTCTAGTGCTCTGAAAACTGCTTGTGTACTGAAACAAATAAACTCCATCATATTTACCTGACTTGCAGAGATGGACTCCTGAAGTCTTTGCAATACAATGCCCACAGCATCCACATATGAATATAATGTGTTCACAGGGATTCTATACATTCACATCCTCCATATCCTGCCATTCCTTAATAAAAATGTAAATAAAGGTATTGATCACTTATCACCTGTGCTCTGGACTACCATCCTGCAAATGTTTTTGCTCTGCATAAATGAAGGAACACATGCCAGCATTAACTTTTCTGCCTTTTTTACACAGCTATAAACAGATCCATTGATTTCCCCCACCCCTCCCTCTTTTTAATTTTGCAAAAATAAATGCTTTCCTGGACAGTCAGAGTTCATTACTGAGACAGAGCACAGCTCCCCTTGTCCAGCCCACAAGAATCAGAAAACAATTTAGGTTGGAGAAGATCATAGACATTTTAAGGTTGGAAAAATTCTTTAAGGTCATTGAGCCCAACCATGGCCAAGGCCCATGTCCTCAAGTGCCACATCCAGATGACTTTTAAATCCCTACAGGGATGATGATTCCACCACTTCCCTGGACAGCCTGTTCCAATGCTGGATAACTCTTCTGGTGAAGAATATTTCCCTGATATCCAAACTAAACCTCCCCTGGTGAAACTTGAGGCCATTTCCTCTCGTGCTGTCCCTGTTCCCTGGGAGCAGAGCCGGATCCCCTGGCTGTCCCCTCTTGTCAGGGACTTGTGCAGAGCCAGAAGGTCCCTCCTGAACCTCCTTTTCTCCAGGCTGAGCCCCTTTCCCAGCTCCCTCAGCCCCTCCTGGGGCTCCAGACCCTTCCCCAGCTCCGTTCCCTGCCCTGGACACGCCCCAGCCCCTCCACGTCTTTCTGGGCAATGCACAGTTAAGTGAGAGGTGAGAAGAACCTACTTTGTCCTCCAAGAGCTGCTCCCTCCCCCCACAGCCACATCCTCCCTTGGCTCCCACCTTGGCAGCCTCCAGAAGCCCCCAGCTAATCCTGTTTCATTCACATTGGGTCAGAGCACAAGCTTCCCAAAAATGTAATTATCTGGAAAACCCAGGATTCCCGCAGCTGGGTCTCCAGGAGGGGTTTTCACACACCCTCTGGCTTTGCAGCAGGGGATGAGGAGGTGGAACCAGCTCTTCCTCCTCCTGGAGGAACGTGGAGAGCCCAGAGCAAATCTCACCATCTGCACAGCCCGTGAGTCACCTCGGGGCCTGGGCAGTTTACTCTATAGATTAGTCAACAGAAACAAACACAAATCCCTAGACATTAAACAGCCTTTTTAGAAAAATAATTTTTAACTCCCTCCCCAAAAAATTTGGCCACAGATCTCTAATTATAATTTTCTGGAGATTTTTTTTTTTTAAAAAAAATATTTAATTGTGGTTTCTATAAACATGAAGATAAATTACTACATGTAAATATTGGTTCTCAACAGTTACTAATGCCTCTCTGGGGGCTGTTTTTATTTCACTGAGACAGAGAAACTAAGTTGTAAAAGATTTTCTTTGTCCCTTTCGCTCATCATGGAGAGATTTAAAAAGTTTTCTTGCATTTGCCACCAAATGCTTTCTAGCTGATGACTTTTGACAGCATTATTAAGTAAATTGAAGGGAAAGATTGATTTCCAAGATGATGCATTGTAAAGTCATGAGAAATAAAACTGGAGCTTTTATTCCAGAAAGGAAGAGGCAGTAAATGCAAGGAAGACACTAAGACAGACACTGTACCACCCACCAGTTCCCCTTTTAAAGCTTCCAAGCTGACTGGAAGTCAGAGCCATAACGAGAAAATTTTAAGAGTGCTGGGGTTTGGGTTTGGATGAGCAACACGATGTGTGTGAGCACCCCTGAGGCTGATCCAGACTGTGTGAGCTTCTTGGATCCAGCCCATGGGCTGCAAGATTTACAAGGGCACTCTGAGGTATCACATATTTACAGCTTCTCACTGGGTTAAAAAATGCCCTGAGAAAAATGCCATCATCTCTTCCAATATTGCCCTGTTACAGCTGTGGAATATCAGTCAAGGAATGGATGAATGAGAAAATGGAAAACAACAGGAGGAGAGCCCTGACCAAACCTTTCCCAAAGCGAAGCAGCAGTGTGGGGCTGTGCAGCTGCACTTACACCTCACAGAGTTTGACCTCTCAGTGTCAAAGGAAGAAAAAGCCACTGAAAAAGGCGAATCATGATCCAAGGGTGTTACCAGGATCTGAATATATTTCTGTTGTCTTGCTATAGCTGAAATGCCACTGCCAATCCTCTGACTCCTCTGACCAGCCACTGGAGGAAAGTGTTTCTGCAGCACACAGGGTTTGTGGCCAATCTCCTGAGCCCAGAGCATGGGTGGGAGCTCAGCTGAGATGCAGGTACCAGGTACCCCCTGAGCATCCCCTGCTCTGTGTGTGACCACACTGAGCCAGCCTGAGGAACTGCCCTCACTTCAAAATAACCAAACAAACCCATACCAAATTATGAGAAACTTCCACTGTTCTGGTTTTTTAGGGCCAGATGAGTTCCCTGATCATGGCCACAATGCCAGGCACAACTGAGGAACAGAGGCTGCAGCCTGGGAGCAGGAGTGGACAGAGAGAAAAAGGATACATGACAAGCTCAAACTACCACCAAGCTGGACAAGAAACAGCAGCCAAGGCACAAGGGCCTGGAGCAGAAACCCTGTGAGGGAAAAGGCACCATGGGGTCTTTAGATGGGGACTTTTGTAAAACCCAAAACTTCATGAGCAGGGAAAACATGGAGCCTTTGAGCGAGTGACCTCAGCAGGGCAGGGAGGTGCTCACCCATAGAAACCCATCCATGGAGCCCTGACATTGTTTCCTCATATTCCATGAAGCAGGTCAGGGAAAGGAATTTTGTTGTTTCAAACCAGTGACATTTTGCATTTGGCTCTTACACAAAGGCTTCAGCTTTGCTGCCTTGTCAGGAGTTTGCCTGGCCCAGAGAAACCACAGCACTTGGTGGGACAGAGAAATGAACACGGAGAGGCAAAGCCCAGGGACGGAGCTGACAGGGAACCTCCTGTTGCTCCATTCCAGGCAGAGGCACAGCCCTGAGCTGTCCTGCCTCTTCCACCAGCCCCTGGTGTGCTGAGCGCTCTCCAGACAGCCACAGGGAGATGTGGTTCCCACCCAAAACAGCTTCCAGCTCCAGCTGGGCAGAACACAGGGAGAGCACACCCCACGTATCCAGCTATGTGAGCCATGCATTCACAGACATGTCCCAAAAACAGAGCCCAGAAACTGCTCCCCAGTCACTCATCTCAGGCCAGTCCTCATGGTTTCCATAGGCATAGGGGAGAGGTGGGTGTCTTGCTTGGTTTCATAACAGCGCTGCACACACTGATGTGCAATAAATAAAGATGAAATGGAAATAATCCAACCCATTCCTCTTTGAGCACAGTTCAAGGAAAATATTGCAGCTAGAGACCATAAGCAGACCCAATAAATTTGTTCACCCCCCACCCCATTCCCCTTTTGTTATTAGGGTGTGACTAAGGCTTTGCAGCATCAACTTTGGGTCTTAATTAGAGATTCTTGCTGTGAGCTCAAGGGATATTTTAAAATCACATTAGAAATATCACAGGAAGTTGCAGCAGGCACTCAGACACAATGCAAACCTGAGAACTGGGATGGCTCAAGCACAGTCATGGCCCCAGGATTTTTCCTTTGTCTTGAACCATGGATTCCTCGGGTGCTGCTGATACCATACTAAAAGGGGGCATCTTACACTGTATCCAGCTGTCCTCAAGTATTTATATCCAGAGGACAGCTTGACTTTCTTGAGTCAAAACTGGAGAAAGTGGGGCTGTATTACAAGGAAGAACTTATTGCCTGGGCTGCTGCTTAAGACATCATTGTCTGACTGTGCTTTCTGCCCTGCACTCGCTTCAGACGACTGAACTTGACCTATCCACCCATCATAAATTAAATTCTTTGATCTCATCTGTAACAACGCAGAGCCCTAATAACAATAGATCAAACCCTGGCAGGGACAATATGCTTATTCTTTACCAACTAAATTTTAATTAGTAAACAGAGCAGGGGAAGAATCCACCTTTGCAGAACAAAAAGGGAAAGAAAAAGAGTTTTGTACTTGAAAGAAATCGCTGATAAAGAGCAGAGACATCTTTCAGAGCTCTACATCCTTGTCCTGTTCATCTGAAAAACCACATCATCCCCAAACCATTAAACCCAGGATGAATTTCACATTGTAAGAAATCACTGTGAAAGCAAACATCAAAAGGGGCAGGGGAGGAGGAAGCAGATCAGGTGGGAGAGCAGTGGCACGATGCCTTTAATCCACTCCTCACACAGACCCATCCTGATGATTATCAAGCCTCAGCCTGTTTGGGCTGCCTGCTGCCTGTGGCTGGGACAGTGGAGGCTGTGGCTGAGCCAGGCTCCCTCAGCTCCCAGGGCTGCTCAGTGTTTGCAGAGCAGCCGGGAAGAACCTCCCGTCTTTCATTTTCTATTTGCACAGGGTGGATTTATTATCGCTGGGATCGTCCCGGGCTCCCCTTTACACCAGAAAACCTGGGCTGGCCTGTGATGTTCAGGTGAGCTTGTGTGCCCTCAGCAGTCTGGCTCCTTCCAGGCAGACATAAATACTTAATCCAAATGTTCCTGTCAGCAGTGGCACTTGTCGAGGCAGGGATTTTCTGTGGCTGTGCATCTCAGGTCACTTTATGCCAAAGTAGAAAGCAAATCCTAAGTAAATCTTCTTTTGCTGGAGCACCCACAATGCTCCCTGTCTGTCTGGAGCCTCACACCAGGATGCAGCAACAGCTGGTCCCTTGGTGGGATGGTACATGGACCTCTCACCTCACCCCAGCCCCTGGCTCTCACAGAACCAACAGGTATTTTGCGGCAGTGCAAAGTTTCACAAGGAGAAAAGAATCTGGGCTGATGGAGATTACATGCTCATATCAGGCTCATTTCCTTGGGAAAGCAGGCAAAACCCCCAACATGACTGATTAAATCTGCCTGGCACAGGAAGAAGACAAGCCCAAGCCAACTCACCCCATTTCTGTGATGTTACCACATCCCAGGCAAAAAAATCCAGACCACTCACCAGAACCAAACCCATGATCAGGGACACTTCACCAAACCTCCCTGAACATC